TCACTTTTATATCAAAACAATAAAATAAAATAAAAACCATGCAAAAAGAAACAATAGTAGAGACCCTAAACCAATAATTTCGATTTTCTCATTTGATTATCAGGGTTGGAAGTAACACATCCAATACATGGATTTTCTTATGTATATTTTGTTGGCGTGAGTCAACTATATGTTTTAGGAATGTAATCAGAATAGGATTATATGATTGATTCATTGTATATTTGGGATTCTTGTTCCCTAACTTTAGGACCTCTTGTACAATTATGTATATGCCTCCTAGAGAGAAGAATAATATAACGATTCAACTCTACACACATATACATTTATCTTGGCATCAAAGCAGGTTTCGCCATGTCTCTTCCCAAACCAAACCCTAAAACAAGTCAAGACGTGCAATCTTCAACAAAGGTTGCATCATACACCAATTTTGGTGTTCCTGAAATTTGAACCAGAAACCCAAAACCTTTGTGGCTTTGTAATCATCAAAGCTACATCAAAATTTAATCTTACTAAAATCACAACCAACCTGGTGTGATGGCAGAAGAAAGAAAGTCTAGAGAGTTGGTTACCATCCAACCCATGTCTAGTTCAAATGAATCCACCAACTTCAGGGGCGTTCCGTTTGGAATTCAATTGAATGATACGAACTTTAAAGTTTGGTTAAAGATGATGGAAGTCCATATTACAGGCTTTGGCAAGCATGAATATTTAACTGGGAAGATTCCAGTTGTGGAAGAAGACTCTCTAGGTTACACAAAGTGGGTCACCGAAGATGTGATTGTGCCAGAGTGGCTGTTGAAAACCATGGAACCACACATGCTGAGTCTCTTCATTGATCTTCCGACAACCAAGGATATATGAGAAAATGCAACCCAAATGTTCTACGACAGATCTGACGAGTCTCAATATTATATGTAAGGCTATACGGACTAAACAAGATGGTTGTCCGGTAAATTTATATTTCACATATTTGAAGAGAGTATGGCAAGATCTTAATAAAATACGTCATATCAAGATGGTGTGTGCAACTGATCTTTGAACCTGTAAGGAAGAGCTTTCAAATGACATGGTGTATGATTTTCTCGCAAGATTAGACAATGGCTTCGACCAAGTCCAGAGTGAAATCAAAAGAATGAAACTTATTCCTGGGATTGAAGAGTGCTTCGGTTTGGTTCGACGTGAAGCATAAAGAAAGACAACCATGCTAGGGACAAAAGCCACGACAATGAGCTCTTCTATGGCAATGGTCATCAAGTCCCCATCACCATCCATGTGTCCACCATCCACTGGAACACCACGCCTGAACCATACCTAAGAAGACATCGACAAGGACAAACTTCATTGCAATCACTATAATGGAAAGAGGCACACTGAAGATACATGTTTGAAATACATGGGTATCTAGAGTGGTACTGAGAACTAAAAAAAAAATTGAAAACCAAGGGGAAATGCACAGGCCAGGCTAAATTGGTCGAGTCTGGGGCTGGATGGGCTACTATGACAGTAGGCCAAGTAGGCTCCAATTGCAACATTGGGAAATTTGCTATTGCAACAAGACATTCTGAGCCTAGGTCACACACATTAGTCCACGACTTGGAGGAAAAAGTGGGCCACAACTTGGAGGAAAAATTGCAACTTGTAGCGGAGGAAGATACCGACCAGATGCTATCTTTAATTAAGCAAATTTCAAATGAGGATTCAGGTAAAATAGGTACTGTACTCATAGCATCCATTAAACGAGATTCTGGCTAGATAATAGACTCCGGGGTTACTGACCACATGACATACGGCAAATCATTGTTTCACCACATGACTTCCCTACTAAAGGAGAATATTATCATGGAAAATGGCGAAGTTTCTCTTGTTACAGAAGTTGGTTCAATAACCCTTACTCCATCTCTATCTTTGCACAATACACTACTTGTTCCATCATTATCAAATCATTTACTATCTGTTGGTCAAGTCACAGAACAGTTGGATTGTGTAGTATTAATGTTTCCTACTTTTTGCCTACTTCAGGATATCTAGACACGGGCGATCATTGGGCGTGGTACTAAGAGGAAAGGGTTATATTATGTGGAGGATGTGGTACTAGGTGGAGTCAATCAAGGGCGTAGCTGTTACAATAATAAGACCAAGACAAGTTGGTTATGGCATTGTTGACTAGAACATGCATCTTTTGGTTATTTGAAAAAATTGCTTCCATCTTTATTTAGTGGCATTTCAGAGTTTGATTTTCGCAGTAATGATTGCATTCTTACAAAGTCATTGTACTTCGTACCATTTAACATTGCCTTTTGAGTTAGTTCACTCTAATGTATGGGGTCCTTCACCAATAACCACACAACATGGTATTTGTTGGTTTGTTATCTTTGTGGATGATTGCACTTGAAGGACATGGCTTTATACAATGAAACAAAAAAGTAATGTTGGTCAAATCTTCCAACAATTTTACCTTATGATTGAAAATCAATTCTGCCTCTTTATTAAAGTCCTCATATCAGATAATGGTGGAGAATATCTTAATTTAGAACTCTCTTAGTTTTTCACGGGGCACAACATTCTTCATGATACTACTTATCCTCAAACTCCACAACAAAACGGTGTGGCGGAGCGCAAGAACATACATATCTTGGAAACTACTCAGGCACTTCTTATTAGAGCTTAAGCTCCTAACACATATTGGGTGGATGTTGCCATTTATTCCGTTTATCTCTTGAATTGAATGCCTTCCCGGGTTCATAATTTTTGCACCCCTATGGAATCCTTGACGGATCATGTCTCTCTACCATCCTCTATCTAGTTATCACCTCGCAATTTTGGATATGTGGCATATGTGCATCTTCAAAAAAATTAACATAGTAAAATGGACCCATGTGCAGTTCGTCGTGTGTTTTTGGGATTTAATAGCCAACAAAAGGGATACCGGTGTTATCATCCATCTACTAGGCGTTTATATGTCACTATAGATGTCACATTCTCCGAAACTGAAATGTTCTTCACTACCAATCAAACCCACTCTACTCGTCAAGGGGAGTTGGTTAGTACAAATGATGAATATATGTGGTTTGATATACTGTTGAAGCTGTCCAATAGACAGGTTGAAATTAACCAAGAAAATATTAGTGAGCAGGCAGCAGAATGTAGCAGTGGACTGAGAAGAGAACCTTTGAGTATCCCAAGTTTTAACTTAATCACCAACCTAGGCCTGCTTGTTCAAGGCCTAAGCACTAACCCACACGCTGACTGTGGGGAGCAAGCTGTGGAATGCAGCAATGGACCGAGATGAGAGTCTTTGACTCGGCCTGTAAATGAGCCTGAATTGTTTAGGTCAGCAAGTAAGAAAATTGATAGCACCGAAGCAGCAGACCTAGCAAATAATAACCCTCATTCTCCTCTACCAGTACATGCTCATCTCCCCGATGATATCCAAGAGGTACGTTCTCATAATTCGAGTATTATTGAAAGTTCTTATGTCTTACCTCTTAGGCAAAACCATGGTAAACCACCTGACAGATTTTCTCCGGATGGAAAAGTCAGATATGCAATTGCACAATATGTGTCAACACATTGATTATCACCTAAGTATCAAGCTTTTGTGAATCAAATGGCTGGAGTCAAGATCCGAACCAAAGTGGAAGAAGCCCTGCAATATCGTCATTTGATAGAAGCCATGGAAGTCAAGATAGAGGCCTTACAAAGAAATGGAACATAGAACGTGGTACCATTACCACATCGGAAGAGACCGGTGAGATGTAAATGAGTATTCACCATAAAGCACAAAGCAGGCGAATCCATAGATATATACAAGGCAAGATTGGTCGCTAAAGTGTACACACAGACATTTGGAGTTGATTATCAGGAAACAGTTGCTCTAGTTGCAAAAATGAATATTATTCGAGTTCTTATGTCCATAGCTGCTAACTTTGATTGGCCCTTGAAACAGTTTGATGTGAAAAATGCCTTCTTACATGAAGATCTGGAATAAGAAGTATACATGAATTTTCCACCTGGATACAAAGTACCAAATGGAGCTGGAAAAATGTGTAGACTTCGAAGGGCTCTTTATGGACTCAAACAATCATCTAGAGAATGGTTTGGAAGGTTCACCCAAGCAATGAAGAGCTATGGCTACAAACAAGGGAATGCAGATCATACATTGTTTATCAAACGCATGTGAGGTAAAGTCACTTTGTTCATAATCTATGTGGATGATACGGTAGTCAAAAAGAGACTGCAAAATTATCTTTCCTCGGAATTTAAGATGAAGGATTTAGGGGGCTTGAAATACTTTCTCAAAATTGAAGTTGCTCGTTTTCGTGATGGTATTTACTTGTGTTAGCGGAAATATGTGCTAGATCTTCTCTTTGAAACTGAGATGTTGGCATGTAAACCAACAGAAAACCCCATCGTACAGAATCATCACCTGGCAATATACCAGGATCAAATTCCAACTAACAAAGAGAGGTACCAGAGGTTAGTAGGTAAGCTAATTTACTTATCGCTTACAAGGCCAGATATTGCATATGAAGTTAGTGTTGTAAGTCAGTTTATGCACTCTCCTAGTGAGGATCATATGGCAGCTGTAATGCGTATATTGAGTTATCTAAAAGGTGCACCTGGGAAAGGGTTGATTTTCAGGAAGCATGGACATATGAAGATAAAAGGGTATACTGATGCTGACTGGGCTGGGAACATTACTGATCGTTGCTCCACGTCAGGCTGCTTTACATTTGTGGCAGGAAATCTCTTGTAACTTGGAGAAGTAAAAAACAAAACATGGTGGCCAGGCCCACAGCCGAGGAGGAATATCGAGGTATGGCACATGGGATTTGAATTGTTATGGATCCAGATTCTTCTGACTGAAATAGGATTTAAGCCTCGGGAGTCTATGTTGTTATACTGTGATAATCAAGTAGCGAGAAAGATAGCCAACAATCCAATCCAACATGATTGTAAGTAACATGTGGAAGTGGAAGGACATTTTATCGAAGAGAAGTTGGACGTTAAGCTGATTGACATTCTGTATGTGAGGTCTGAAGAACAGTTAGCTGATGTGTCAACTCATGCAGTGTTAGTGAAGGTTTTTCAAGACTCACTCGACAAGTTGGGCTTAGGTGATATTTACGCACCGACTTGAGGGGGAGTGTTAGTGTGAGTCAACTATATGTTTTAGGAATGTAATCAGAATAGGATTACATGATTGATTCATTGTATATTTGAGATTCTTGTTCACTAACTTATTGGACCTCTTGTACAATTATATATATGTCTCCTAGAGAGAAGAATAATATAACGATTCAACCCTCAACACATATACTTTTATTTTATTTAATTAATTACAAGTTTACCTGTTGCAGGCAGGATCAGATTCGCGGCTTGTGAGCCAAATGGAATCACTTGCATTTGTTTCACTATTCCGATGCCATGTCCACTGTGCATGGGTTGCATTCACTACAACCAATTGCCCGTGCCCAAAGCTTGCCTCCCTGAAAGCCGATATTTCGGGTTTCGGATTCAAATACCTGAAATATTAAAAAAAAAAAAAATGTCAGTTTGCGACAAGAAAAATGTATGAAATAATTAAGGAACCCATGGAAAGAACTGCAACTAATTAAGCCAACTTAATTACTTGCTAGCAAAGCCTTCACGGTTGCCACCATCTCCAGTGGTAATAAGTACTGGACCACAATTATTAGCTTGATCCTTGTAAACGCGAGTCTAAAACAACAAAGTAAAAAAAATATCATTAGTAATATATTCAACCAAATCAAGTAATTAAAAGCAATCCTAATTGATTTCGGATATATATGTGAATTTTTGTAAGAGTAGTAGGCTCAAAATGATTGATTATCGTCATATTAACTTATCAACTAGTTAGTGCATCAATGTCACTTTTTACATAGTATGACCAACTAATGATTTGCTAATGTAGTTACTTATGTGGCAAAAGACATGATTAAGTACATGTTTATTAGTGTGTCATGCTCTGTTCATTAACGACTTGATTTGCATGTGATTATTGTTAGAGGGTGTTGGGTTTTCACCCCTGCGTCCCAGGTTCGAAACTCTCTCTCTCATAATTAAACTATTGTAATAATTTCGAACTCTCCCCACTTAATAATAATAAATTAAAAAATAAAATAAACGACTTAATTAGATAGTGTAAAATGTGATAGGCTCTAACATTACAAGTGAAGGAAAATACTTACAAAACGCTCGTAGGCATGTACATGCCCTGCATAAACCACATCAACACGAGCTTGATAGAGCAAATCTTCCATGGCCTCCTTCATGCCAACAGATTCAGGCTCACCCTGATTAGCTTTATTAGAATTGTGCCAAGGAGCATGGATAAGCACGATGATCCACGGCGTCCTCCCCCTGTCGACCTTTCCCAAATCCGCTTGCAACCACTGATACTGTGCAGAACTAGGATCAAAATCAGTGTACGACCCCAACATGATGACACGAACTCCGGCTACATTGAATGAGTAGTAGAGGTTTGAGTCTGATCCGCTCTCTTCATATGGCATGTGCCACCGCGCATTGTATGCGGTGAAGGCATGCGGGTGGAAGATCCGGATCTTTTCGACCTCGTGATTGCCTTGTGTGACCATCCAAGGCCGTTGGCTTGCCAGTGGCTGCACCAGACGGCCAAATGAGTCCCATTTACTTTGGCGCAAGTCTGCATAGGATAAGTCTCCTGGTAGTAACAACATGTCGTGGTTTGTTTTAGCTATGTGTTGGAGGGTTGAGGAGGTCCATTCAGTTTGTCCAAGATCACCTGCCAAGCATGTAGGTAGATGGTTAATTTCATTCATTTAATTTTGTTTAATTAAGCATATATGTGCTACTAAATATTTACACATACCTACGACTGCAAATGTGATAGGGAATGCTGCAGGCGGGGTTTTGAAACTGAACTCAGGATCCGAATGAGAGGAGCCACAGCGGTAGTAGTACTGCATGTTGGGTTTCAACGGACCGATAACGACGTCGTGAATATCCCCATACGTGTATATTATTCCGTAGGTGTAGGAATACTTGTATTTCCAGTTGCAGTGCTTTCATAAACACCTGGAAATGATCCATATACCACTGTTGCCGGACTAGGGATGTCTGTGATCCATGCCACCCCCATTCTGTCCTCGCCTACTACTGAAGTATGCACCTGCATGTGCACATAATCAGCAGATATATTAGCTACGGCTCATTTAAATATGGAACATCTAATAAGAGCATGATGTTTTAAATCTCTAATTTTTATTTATTTAATGTTCATCATTTGGTCTAGAACCATTACTGATCTTCAATTTATTGGAGTAGATAATTTCTAATAAATAAAAAACAAAAGGGCTTTAAAGCCTTACTAAAAAAAGAAAAAAAAGAAAAATTGGATACGGTGTGGAAGACAATATTTTTTTTTTCTAGAACATACAATATTATCTACACTAGGTAGAATACCATCATACAGTAATACTAAATGACGACGTTAAAGGAAATTAAATCTTCTATATGCAACACTTCCCATTTGACCTTTTATGTCACATATGTCTATTCCCATTCATTTGACTAAACCATTTTTAAATATATTTTTAGAATTAACTTTTAATAAAAATGCAAGTAAAATTTTGGTAAAGCACTCGAAGTACTTTATACGAGAAGCACTTAATTAATAGTACTTGCAATAAACATTTCAAGTGATTTTGAAATTAATAATTTTTTCAAAAAACGTTTTCAATTGAAAACACTTCCCAACAAGCTCTTAATTCTTTTCTTGTGGTTGGTAAGTAAATAAGAAATTAAACAGATTTCTTCATTCTGGTAAAATACATGTTGGCCTAATTCACCACTGTCCAAGCCTACAATTTTGCTTTCAAATTCCCCAGAAAAATAAAAACTACTTATTCATTTTTTTTAAAATTAAATTAAATTATGGGCAGAGAAAAAAAACTTGTATCAGTTTATTAAAATATTAATAATAATAATTGAACAGTACCTGTATTGGAGAAGCAGAACCAGGATCATCCACAGGGGCGGAGAGGTTCTTGCGAGGCAGTGGGCGATTATAACCTTGGACAAATGCACCAAACAACACCGGGAAAGCCAGGCCAATTAACGTAAAAACAGCGAGAACCAGTCCCGGCCAGCGTTGGACGTCCGCCATGTTTAACGTTTAAGACTACTCTCGAACTCTGGCTAATTTCACCAGAAAATGATCTAGAAAGCGAATGTCTGCTTCTTTCCTCTTCCTCGTATAAATAGAACAGAAAATGCCAATTTAACGATGGAACAACACATCGCGGTTAGTACGTGATACGTGGGACGTCACACAATTGGACACGTCTCCAAAAGGCATACCATATACTGAGCAAATTTGAGTCGTTCGATGGGTTTTTCATATTTTGAGTGTGAAAATGCTTAGCCACTTGGGCTGCCGATTTCGTCACCGATTTGGTGATTGTTGAGTCCGGACATTAGTTAGTGTTTGTTGTTTTGGGGGTGTGTTGCGGCCACGGTTTCATTGCCTTTCACTTTGGCAGTGGCAGGATTTTTTCAGATCCCATGTATATCGGCATTTGGCAAGTTGGAACCGTGGAGATCTAGCATTTTCAATATCTCCAATGGATGGATTAGAGGAAGGAAGTGCGATATCCATCAATGCTTAAAGATGATAGGGTGCTTTAGAGGGTATTTCAATTCAAAAATGTTGGGGTGGAAAAAAATACCGAAAATTTCAAATCGAACCGAAAAAATCTCAAACCGAAAATTCCGAAAATTTCGGTATCCAATCCCGAATCGATCCCGAAATTTCGGTATGGGAATCGGTCTCACATTTTCATTCATTCGGTAATCCCGAACTGAACAGAAATAAAATATATATATATATATTATTTAATTTTAAATATATATTTGGAATTGTAATAGCGGTCGAATTTGGTTGAGATTTAATCTCAACCGTTGAATCCAAATAAAACCCTCACTCAGTCACTCTCTCTCTCTCTCTCTCGACCTCACCTCACCCTGCTCTCTCATCCTCGCCGATTTCTCTTGATTTCTCTCCTCCTTCTCATTTGCCGTCTTTGAATCTAACCACATCACACTCACACAAGTGACTCACCTCTCTCTCGACTGACCTCTTTGATCTCTATCTCTCGACTTCCCATCCCTTACTAAAAAACACGTTGCAGGAATGGCAGCAACTTAGGTGATAGCATCGTCGATCCTCACCAAGAGTTTTGTTTTGTTTGAAGGACTCAAATCTTTAAGCCTTAAGTTCACTCAGTCTCAGACTCTCTCTGTCTCTCTATCGCTCCTTCTTGAATTCGAAACTCAAAAACCACCAACCCTTTCACAATCTGACTCCAACGAACTCTCTCCACTCCGGCCACCACCACACCTCACGGCTTCATCCCCCACCATCGATTCTCTCCACTCTCTGTGTGTGTGGGGTTTCGAATTAAGGTTTCGAATTGGGGGCTCGAGTCAGGAGGAGGATACGGGTCCGTCTGACTATCTCTTCATTATGTCTCTCTCTTTCTCTCGACTCATTGTCACTCTCTTATTTCAATTTAGGTTTTTAATGTAGGTTCATATGATTTCAATTTCAATCTAGATGATTTGGATTTTGATGCACGTTTGGTTTCGGGAATCCTAAAATTTCGGTTCGAGATCGGTCGTCGGATTCTCATCCCGAAAATTTTTAGTTTGGGATTTGATATGTCATTTCTGGTTCAGTATCCCATACCGAACCAACCCTAAAAAAATGGAAGAAGAAATTAACTTGTATAATCATAAAACATTTGGAAAATGACAAAAAGACACATCATTTTTTCTTTCTACACACTTTTATTCAATTTTGTTACTTATTTTTATTTAATTTATTCAATATGATGACAAAAAATTAAAAAAAAATGTACAAAGCTAAACAAATCAGCTCTCAATGTGATTATGCTAAAAAGGTTGATAATAATACATGAGCAAATCCACACTTTAGATTTTTTGTCAAAGCTTTATAAGGTATTATACTGAATTGATTTCCCTTCTAAAATGGGCAGACTATTTCCTAAAACAATTCAACTCCCTTCTAAAAATGGGCCACTAGTACCACTGTTTTAGTGACATGTAAGTAACTAAGTGAGAGGATTTAAGTTTAATTTTGTAAATAACGAGTTTAATACTAAATTTTTGATGACCCATTGTATGGGTTAGCCCAACCCTTTTTTCCAATAGAGTGATTCTTTAACTTAGTTTGACATTGTTGTGCTGTGAGAAAATCATTTTTGAAAGTGCCGTGTGAGATGCTAGATGTGATAAAAATAGCCTAGCATTTGGTAAACAAAATTTTATGTCTGTTGTGAGTACAATCAACAGTTTTTTAATGTTTAGTAAATTTTGTGTAAAAATAGTGTCAGATATGTATATGACTAAAAAAGAACATTTTTTGGAAATAATTTTTCAAATAGTAATGAGTATTTTCTCAAAAAAAGATACAAATGATAGAATACTATTTGAGATCACCTCATAGTAACGAGTAGCTTCTAACTTTTCTAAAGAATAGAAAACTTAAGATAGGTGTAAAGAAGCCTAGTCAAGCCGCGTAGCAAGGTGCTCAAACTCAGCTTAAGCTCAAAATAAAAAAAAATTAAAAAAAAAGGTACTTCCACGGTTCCAGTTATGCTCAGTTCCGGTCCTATAAATATTTTGATTCATCGATGAGCAATGTTCTTTTCATGTTTTAAAATGTCATATGAATTTGAAACCATTTATTCAAATTTTCATTGATTGGATCACTATTTCAGATTAATGATCTGCGTTATTTAACACATAAACATACGATATGTATTAAAAGTTAGCTTTAAAATCGTTCCACGTCAAACCTTACAAAGAAAGGGATGTTATTCGAGATCGCTATGTTTGTGTGTGCTTAAAATACTGCAACGTGATGTTATCATTCTACGTCTTATGGTATGGAAGAATAATATATGGTTGATATATATTTAGAATATAATTCTATAATTTCTGACACATCCCAGACCGACTCCGCCGTAGTACGATATTGTCCGTTTTGAGCTTACTATTCCATCACGATTTTATTTCTGGGAACTCACGAGAAACTTCCCAGTTGTCTGTTTTGAGCTTACCATTCCATCACGATTTTATTTCTGGGAACTCACGAGCAACTTCCCAGTGGGTCACTTATCCTGGGATTGCTCTCGCCCAAACTCGCTTAACTTCAGAGTTCCGATGCAATCCGAAGCCAATGAGTTCCTAAAAGGCCTCGTGCTATAGGAGGTGGGCATGTACATATAAAGCACATCACCCCCTCTCCGTTGATCGATGTGGGATGTTATAATTTGAATGTAATAATTATACCACGTGATAGTGTTCATAGTACACTAAAAAATTTCTCGCTTTTGATGATCTGGTCTAATGTACAAAACTTGCTCTCATTGAAAGACATTTTGATATATTATATATCGACTGAAGAATATGCCTTATGTTTCTTAATATGGCACATTATGATCTGTTAAATAATTATAGCACAAAGGTATCTTCAACTGAGATATCCATTAAGTAAGTTAATACTACTTTTCAAAATGGATTGAGTGCTTGGAAATAAAATGTATCTGCACGTCAATGAAGGAAATTTGTTGCTGGCAAGTCACCTAATCAAGTTAGCAACCTCTTGTCATAAGTTTTGAATCGAGGACTTTTAAAGCATAAAGTTTACCTGCCCACCGTATTTTTTCTCTCTCCTTTTTGGCCTTTTTGGCGTGGGTAAAACAGGACATGTTCTTAATTATCTGTTACTGCGTATAATCATTTATCAAATGTCATGTGTAGGGTGTGCCCTGTAAGTCTAGGGCCGGCCAGGCTCAATCTCTTCATATAATGTCTTGTTTAGTTACAAGCTCACGTAATTAGACTCGATCTTACTTCAAATGATCACTAAACTGATGATATTAACCAAGTTAATTAAGATTAGAGCCAAGCAAAGCCCAATCTGCATTAATAATTTATGCTGGATAGAACTATCATATAGATATAAAGATTGAGAATCCTAGAACGTCAGTGGCTTTGCCGCAAGTATTGCCATACTTACACGCCATTGCAATCTTATTATTCTATCCATTTTTTCAAACCCCCTCAACCCTCTTATATATCTCTCCAAGGCTCTGGAAATATTCGTATCCAATAGCTCTCACAAAGCAAAAATGGAGAAATTATATCTTCATGTATTCTCTCTTCTCCTAATCATTTGTCTCTTCCCTCAACATCTAAAATCACAAGATGATGATTTTGTTAGACAACCTCCTCGCGGAGTAATATTCACCCATCACACTGGTTCCGATGAGGACCCTCAACAGGTACAGTTTATGGGTATTCTAACAGTTTATATGTCTAATTGTCCGGGCAGCAATGATAGTATCTTGTACATGAACCGGCGGCTCACTATTTCTAAGTAATGGGGAAGAAAACCGAAACATGCTATAATTTTGAGCTCAGAAAAACAGTTAACACCCGACTATTATAATTTATTGTTGATTATTTTCTTAACGTCGTATTAGGTGCATATTTCTCTAGTGGGAAAAGATCATATGAAAATTTCATGGGTTACTGAAAGCATGCATGTTAAATCACTTGTCGAGTATGGAAAGGTATCTGGGATATATGATGGAAAGGCAACTGGAGAACACACATCATACAAGTACTTTTCCTACAGCTCCGGGAAGATCCACCATGTTACCATTGGTCCCTTGGAGCCTGCCACTACATACTTCTATAGGTGTGGAGGTTCAGGCCCCGAGTTCTCCCTCAAGACACCCCCACAAAAACTTCCCCTTGAATTTGCAGTGGCCGGTAAGTTAAGTTACATTTTTTTCTTTCAAATTAAGATAATGTTATGTTGTCAGAATCTAAATTTTAAGCACACCCTTAACAGGATAAAATTTTCACTATTGCAAAAAATTTATCGATCAATAATTTTGAGTGGAGATTTAGTAGCTTATCACATGAAATGAACCATCGATGAGCGTCTTTCTGGAATTAGAAGGAATGTTATGTATACATTTGGGGAGTACGATAGAGTTGGTTAGTTAGCTATTTATTGTTGCTTTAAGTCTAAGCGGAATGACAACAAATGTTGGAGATGAATGTAAAACACTCGTTAGGAAAAGTTGCAAGTTTCG